ACGAATGTGCGCGGTGCTAAAGCGAGAACCACATTTTGAAATCCACCCGCCCTCAATCCGTGAAACCTTTTCAAGTTTTGAAGCTCAATGTGCGCGACGCTAAGGCGAGAGCCACATTATGAAAACGACCCGCCCTCCATCTGTGAAGCTGTTGCCAATGTTTAAGCTTCAGGGTCATAGCTGGTGAGGAAATCTCAGGCGAAACGCCCGGATCGCCCCAACAAATGGTCTCGGGGTGCGATAGGGGAAACACAGTTATACATAAGAAAAAGGAATAGAGGAGGAAAAGGAAGAGGAAGAGGAGGAAAAGGAGGAGGAAGAGGAGGAGAAGGGCGGTGATTAAGGAGGGGAAGGAGGAGGGGGAGGCTGCGGACGCGCATGAAGAGAAGGGGCAAACAAGCAGGAAGGACGGACAGGAAGGAAGAACGGATGGACGGACACACCAGAGGAAGAGGAGGAGGAGGAGGAGGACGAGGAGGAGGCGGAGGCGGACGAGGAGGAGCAGGAGGAGGAAGAGGAGGAGGAAGACGAGGAGGAGGAGGAGGAAGGAGGAAGGAGGACGAGGATCAGGAGGGCCGAAGGGCAGGAAACAAAGGAGGATGGAGGGAGGGATGGGGAGGACGAGGGGGATGAGGAGTGAGGAGGAGGAGGCCATGTGGGTGGCTGCAGCTGAGGGAACTGTAGCCCATCCGACGCACCTTGTGTCCCAGGACCCGGTTCGATCAACACCATAAGGTCAAGTACTCGGAGGCCGACGTCGTCAGCAACATTTTGGATAGTGCGTCGATGAGGAATCATTTACGATCCGCGCGGGCAAACAACTTTTTGGGGGGCACGCGCACCACGGTTTTTCGTGCTGCGCCGCGGCCCCCCTTAGGTACTGCGGATCAGAAAAACGATAACGTCCTGAATTCGCTCCTCGCCAATGCCGGGAGGCTCCCAATAGGTCACGTCATGCAGCCAGACTGCGATACTTGGCACGCCTGCTGCGCCGGGAGCCAGGCCCTCTGTTCAATCTGCTCGACTTCTCGCTCGAGCAGAAGCAAGGTTGGCCATCAATGCTGGCCCCTGGCGCGCAATGACTTACGTTGTTTGCTTTCAACAAAGTTCCACGTTAAGGAACGGTGCGAAACTGTATCATACATTTTTTGCGTCGGCGGCTGGGCAGGGGTCGTCTGCGCTGGCGGAAGAAGCTAACTAAACGGGGGCACCGTTGTAGCGAATTGGCTAACATGCAAGAGGAGGGGAGGAAGGAAGAGCGGGTGGCCGCGGGGAGGGGGAAAAGGCGAGGGCCGCTCCAGGGGACGGGTCGCTCCCAGAGCGAGCTGGCGCGGCTAGCCTCGCCGGCGGGGACAGAAGCGGCTGCTGTGCCAGGGTTCCAACGGCGGCGAGGACTGTATCAAACACGCCAGATGCGATACTAGAGCGTTCTTGCGCGGGGTCAAACAAGCTGCCCAATGATACCTGGACCACCTGGCTGTCCAGGCTTATCCCGAGCTGTTCCGGAAGAGCGGCCAGGTGGAAAAGGGGCCCTCTCCCCATGGGTGATAACGAACCCGATGATCCCCAGGCCCGTCAGGTTCTTCTTTACAAGTGGGGGAATCAGCCGAATACTTGTCTAGTGGGCACCATGTGCCAATGCTGCTGCAAGGAATTTCACTCGTACAACAAGTTGGTTGATCACATCAAGCGCGTCCCGTCTTGTTGGGACAGGCTTTTGGCCACGGGAGTAAGAGCTAAGGAGGACGATATTCAATAATGGTGCGCCCTCGAAACTACGTCTCAGCAAACGAATCGGTCGAAGGGTTCCATTAACATCACACGGATCAACCACAATGCCAAACTTACGGGCCGAGCAGGTGCTCGGACGAGATGACCCTCCTTCCGAGGACCCCTTGTTCACGCCCGGGCCACGCGAGCAGGGCCATCAGGCTATACCTCGTCGAAGCGGCAGGATTCTACTCGAAACATTGTGAGCAGGAGCGCTGTCAACCAGGAGCCGAAACTCTCGCTTAGGTGTCGACGGCAACATATGCGAGGAATATTTCCAATATTCCCCAATCAGAGCTTGCCTCTGTAGGGGTCCTAGCGGATCCATATGGTCAAATTAGGTTTGTCGCCGATTTTCGCTGCACGCCCGGGTGCCCGGGTGCCCAGGGGTGCCGGGGGGTGCCCTAGAGCCCTAAGCCCTATAGCCCTATAGCCCAATGGCCCTACAACTCCATAGCCCTATAGCTCAATAGCCCTATAGCCCCCCTAGCCTTATAGCCCTGATTTGTGTTTTTCTCTGGTATCATTTTTAAGAAAAAAGAGCTTGTCCAGGTTGCCTCCCAGCCCGCCTCGCAGGTTGGTTTGAGTGAAACCTTTTATGGTAGTGACGTGGCTCAGCGATGTTGTGACATGATCGCGTCTGGCAGAGTCCTTTGGAACTTCGCCTCCCCATCGATCACCACCTGGTGGTTGCAATTCGCGTGGCCTGTTGCTAAACCCCCCCCCTCGCCCAGAATCCTGTGCACGCACTTGGAACCATGGGGCCGGAAAGGTGTCGTAGAAGGGGCATGAGATGATAGCCAGAGCCAACAACAAGGAATTCATAACCATGGTAAGGATAATACTTGCGTGTGTAGCTGCTTGCGTATCGTTCACGATGGAAATGCCTACCAGATCCACCTCAAGCACGAGGGCCAATCCCTGGGAATTGCCTGAGGTGAAGAGTATCGCCAGACCTCCGAATTCTAGGATGGTGGAGATTAGCACCAATACTGTCATCATGTGCCACATATGTCCAACCCGCCGCACATGCTTAGTCCTTGGCACGGTCGCATTGACGATCTGACCGCTGCCGCCGCTTTTGCTGAGCTGTTCCGTGACAGTGTGCAGATACTGGGAGGGGAGGCACTTGAGCCTGTGCTGTTGGGCCTCCTTCGGCCCTTGGACCCTTTTTCAGTCGAAACCGCCGCGGTGGAGCCAGGGACCTTGGACTACGGCGGCCGCTTGACGGCTGGTGCACTGCTCTTCTTTTCGGGCGTAGCCCGAGTTTGTTTCTCGCGAGGTAAACTGGACTGGACTGCATTGGGCAGAAGTGAACTGAACTGAGCTGAACTGACTGGTCGGACTCGTTACGCGACAGTTTTATTCTTGGCGGCCGAGGGCGCAACCTATGGCGCAACCAATGGGAGACGGATGTATCTTCGGCCGCCGAGAGCGCAACCAATGGCGCAACTGGTAGGAAACGGTTTTATTCTCGGCGGCCGAAGGCGCAATCCATCGCGCAACTCAGGTGACGGTTCTACTCTCGGCGGCCGAGGGCGCGATCTATGGCGCAACCGATCGGAGACGGTCTTATTCTCGACCGCCGAGAGCGCGACCTGTGGCGCAACCGATAGGAGACGTTTTGATTCTCGGCGGCCCAAGGAGCAGCCTATGGCGCAAACGTTAGGAGACGGTTTGATTATCGGCCGCCGAACGCGCAAACTATGGCACAGCCGTTAGGGGACGGTTGTATTCTCGGCGGCCGAGGGCGCAACTTATGGAGCGACCTTTTTAGGAGACGGTTGCATTCTCGGCCGTAGAAAGCTCAACCTATGGCGCAACAGGTCGGATAATGTTTTATTCTCGGCCGTCGAGGGCGCAACACATGGTGAAACCGATCTGAGGCGGTTTTTATTGTCGGCCGCAAAGGGCGCAAGCTATGGCGCAACCGTTCGAAGACGGTTTTGTTCTCGGCGGCCGAAGGCGCAACCTATGGCGCAACCGATAGGAGGCGGTTTAGACGGTTGTATAATCTGCCGCCGAAAGCGCAACCTATGGCGCAACCAATAGGAAACGGTTTAAGGCGCAACCTTTGGCGCAACCGATCGGAGAAGGCTTTCTTCTCGGCGGCCGAAGGCGCAAACTATGGCACAACCGATCGGAAACGGTTGTATTCTCGGCCGTAGAGGGCTCAACCTATGGCGCAACCGATAGGTGGCGGTTTGATTCTCGGCGGCCGAGGGCGCAACCTATGGTGCAACCAAGAGGAGACGGTTTTATTGTCGGCGGCTGATGGCTGCAATCTATGGCGCAACCGATAGGAGACGGTTTCATTCTCGGCGGCCGAGGGCGCAACCTATGTGTGCCCCTGGTACCACCAGGACGCGATCAACGTACTCACCGTGCTGGGGGCCCGCGAGTAGTACGAGGACGCAGCGTGGGCATCCAAATGCGTGCGGTGCTAAGCCCGATTTATGCTCGCCGTTTGGGCTGGCTGTGGGGCCCAATCGGCGAGCTGTCGTCTGATTCCCGCGTCCCTCTTGCACTTGCTCTCCTTTGCTTGCCCAGTCGGCGGACACAAACGTCCAGAGTTTCCGACCGACCGACCCACCGAGGAGGAGGAGGACGATGATGATAAGAAAGAGGAGAAAGAGAAGGAGAACCATGATGAGGAGGAGGAAGAGGAGGATGAGGAGAAACGGTATGATAATGAGGAGAGGCGGAGGAGGAGGACGAGCACAAAGAGGACAAGAGGACGAGGATGATGATGATGATGAGGAGGAGGAGGGGGAGGAAGAGGAGAAGCAGGAGGCCGAGTAGGACGATTATGGGGGAGGACGAGGCGGAGGAGGAGGAGGAGGAGGAGGAGGAGGAGGAGAGGGAGAAGGATGAGAAGGTGGATGATAAAGAGGAGGAGGAAAAGGAGTAGGGGAAGGAGGAGAAGGATGAGGAAGAGGAGGATGAGGAGGAGGAGAAGGAGAAGGAGGAGGAGACGAATGAGGAGGAGGAGGAGGAGGAGGAACAGGAGGAGGAGAAGGAGGAGCAGGAGAATGAGGAGGAGGGGGAGGAGGAAGAGGCGAACAAGGAGGGGGAGACTGGCAGGAAGGAAGGACAGAAGGAAGGAACGAGGAGTCGGAGGAGAAGGCAGGAGGAGAAGACAGGCAGGAGGAGGAGGAGGAGGTTGAGGAGGAGGAAGAGGAGGACCGAGGAGGAAGAACGGTGCGCGGGAGGAAGACGGCCACTGGGGCCACGACTCCGGCTGCAAGTCCTCCAACCACTCTGGGCACAACTCCACGGAGCGGACGGGCCCGCACGGCGCGAGGGCGCCCCGCACCGCCTCTCGCTCGGATGGCCAGCGGGGCGGAAGAGCGGAGGGGTGTGGGGAGGACGGCGGAGGAAGATGACGGGGGAGCGGGAGGGAGGAGAAGGCCAGGGAGGAGGGAAGAGAAGGAGGAGGAGGATGGGGGAGGAGGGGGAGGGGGGGAGGAGGAGGAGGAGGAGGAGGAGGAGGAGGAGGAGGAGGAAGAGGAGGAGGAGCAGGAGGAGGAGGAGGAGGCTCTGGAGACTCTGGATGACGACGAGGTGTGCCGAGAATGATGCACCACGCCAAGGAGGAGGGGGATGAGGAGGATGAAGAGGAGGATGAAGAGGAGGAGGAGGTGGATGCAGGAGGGTGGAGCAGGAATAGGAGCAGAAGGACCAGGAAGACCAGAATCAGGAGGAGGAAGAGATCATCCTTCCCAAACCCGCCCCCACTCATCCTGACCCGCCTCCTCCTCCTCCTGCTATTCCTCCTCCCTCAGGGGGAGGAACGGAGAGGGATAGCAGGGTGAGGAGATGGGTGGACGGATGGATGGATGGATGGAAGGATGGATGGATGGGTGGATGGATGGATGGACAGATGGTGGTGATGATGATGATGCTGCTGATGACGCTGACGATGCTGATGCTGATCCTTATGATGCTGATGCTGATGATGAAGCTGAACATTAATACCAACATGATGCTGCTTCTGATCATGATACTGGTGCTGATGATGCTGCTGATGCTTATGCTGATGCTGCTGATGGTGGCCATGCATATGACGAGGATGCTGGTGATGATTCTGATAATGATGCTGCTGCTGCTGCTGATGATGCTCATGATGATGATGACAATGAACATGACGATGATGCTGGTGATGATTATGATAATGTTGATGATGCGGCTGTGGATGACTAGGATGGTGATGATGACGATGACGATGACACTGCTGCTACTGATGATGATGATGATGATGATGATGATGATGATGATGATGATGGTGATGCTGATGATGCTGGTACTGCTGTCGATGATGCTGCTGATGACGATGCTGATGATGATGACGATGCTGATGCTGATGATGATGATGACGATGCTGATGCTGATGCTGTTGATGCTGCTGATGAGTATGATGATACTGATGATGGTGATAATGCTGCTGCTGATGATAATGATTACGATGCTGCTGATGATGATGCTGCTGCTGATGATGAGGATGATGATGATGGTGATGATGATGTTACAACTGCTGCTGCTGCTGCTGATGGTGATGCTGCTGATGATGATGATGATGATGATGATGATGATGATGATGATGATGATGTAAGAGGAGGAAGAGTAGGAGGAGGCAGGGGCAGGATGAGGTAGAATAAGGCGGCAGAAGGAGGGTGAGGAGGAGGCAGGAGGAGGAGGATGGGGAGGATGAGGAGGAGGAGGAGGAGGAGGAGGAGGAGGAGGAAGAGGAGGAGAGGAGGAGGAGGAGAGAGGAGGAGGGAGGAGGGGATGATGATGAGGCCGACGACGGCTACGACGACGAGGATGACGAGAACAAGGGTGGAAGGAGAAGGGGGGGAGGAAGAGGAGGAGGAACATGGCAATATTAGGAGGATGATAAATGGACAGGACTGGATTGAAGAGGGAATGCGGTCGAAGGTGGCGCTAAGCTGCATTGACATTAGGATGATGACGATGAGGAGGGAGGAGGCAGGAGGAGAGAGGAGGAGGGAGGGGGATGAGGGAGGAGGAGGAGGAAGAGGAGGAGGGGGAGGAGGAGGAAAAATCGGAGGATGAGGCGGAGGCGAATGTTGGTCCTTGACAGGGGTAGTCGACAGGGACGGTGCCCATTCAGAGAGCGCGTGCGTGCTGACTGGACAAGTCCGCCGACCCTGTCGGCGTGTGTGAGGGGCTTCTCCGTCCGAGTCGGGCCTTTCCTCTGGAGCCGTCGTCTCCGTCCTCCTCTGTTCCATTTGCCTGGGCCCTCGTCCTTATACTCGGGTCGGGCGAAAGGGGGGATAGCAAAGGGGGGGTTTGAGAATCAGCTCACGTAGCTGCTCTTCCCGGCGCCTCCCGCCGCCAGAGGCGGCCATGTATCGAGGCATGGGCCCCTCGGTGAGGCCGAAACCAGCTGCATGCAGCAAATTTCGTAACCCCCCCTTTCCCAATCCCCCCCTTTCGCCCGGCCTGGTATACGCGCCGACAGCGGGCGGTCACGGTCGGGCTGCGGCCGCGACTAAATTCCCGGGCGCGCGCGGGGGCCGCGGATCAGGCGGCGGGGGGGGGGCAGCGACCCCTCGTCCTTACACGCGCCGAGGAGGAATCGAAGAGACGCCCCTTCCCTTTGATCCCTTCCCCGCGCCCGGGGGGGGGGCGTTCCGGGGGGCCCCCCGCGCCCCCCCTCCTCCTCCTCCACCTCCTCCTCCTCTCCTCCTCCTCCTCCTCCTCCTCCTCCCTCCGCCTCCTCCTCCTCCTCCTCCTCCTCCTCCTCCTCCTCCTCCTCCTCCTCCTCCTCCTCCTCCTCCTCCTCCCCTCCCTCCTCCTCCTCCTCCTCCTCCTCCTCCTCCTCCTCCTCCTCCTCCTCCATCCTCCTCCTCCTCCTCCTCCTCCTCCTCCTCCTCCTCCTCCTCCTCCTCCTCCTCCTCCTCTCCTCCTCCTCCTCCTCCTCCTCCTCCTCCTCCTCCTCCTCCTCCTCCTCCTCGGCCCAGACCAGGAGGCCGCAGCCCGGGTCCCGGCCCCGGCGCCCGGGTCCCAGCCCTGGCCCCGGGCCCCAGCTCCGGCCGTGGCCCCAGCTTTGACCTCGGCCCCCGCCCTGGCCCTGGTCCTGGCCCCAGCCGCGGCCCCAGCCCAAGCCCCAACAGAGCCCAAGAGGCTCCCAAGAGAGCCCCAAGGAAGGCTCGATAGCGTCAGCGTCGTCGTCGTCGTCGTCGTCGCCGCTGCCGCCGCCGTCGTCGTCACCGTCCCCCTTCAGGGTCGGCGGCACCGGCCGCTAGGCCTTCCCAAGACCCTGGACCGGATGCGGTCTAGCAGGGCCCATCGGATCCTGACGCCAAGGGCAATTTCAACAAGGATCCCTCTGGCTGCCGATACCGATCACATTCCTCGCCCTTGGCCCTAAGTACGTTGTATCCTTCCCCAGGCCCTACATCGCAGGCACGTCGCTTCGCAGGCGCATGTGTACATGTTATAGCCAGTCCATACACATGCCCATGTAAAATTCTAAACTCATGCGCGCATCTGGGTAATGGTGTTGGTGAAGATTGGCGCGCCCGTGTGTCCCGCATTGAATCGTTTCACAATGATGGTGTTTGCTTGCGTGCGCATGTGAAGCACAGCTGGGTTGGCGCACGCGCGTGGCCCGCATTCAATTATTCGACCAGGGTTGTGCCCGTTTGGCGCCCGCGTGGCCCGCGTGCCCGTTTAGAGCACGTATGGCCCGCCTGGAACTGCTCGACGAAAGAAATGCGCGCCTTGCGGTCCGCTTAAGCGTATTTGGTAAAAGGAAGTGCTCTGGGCCATATCCGGTCTGTCAAGGCCCAGTGGGGATTGAAGATGAGGGTGATATTAGCAAGGATCCACAGACTTGCCGAAAGCAATCAGGCACCCTGCCCTGGGCCATACAGATCATGTTGCTTTCCCCGTCCTCAGGCGCGGGGTGCGTCGTCACGCGGACGCATGTGCGCAGGTCTAAAGCCAGTCCGTGCAAAAGCCCATCCAAGTCTGTAAACTCATGGCGCGCATCTGGATAACGGCGTCGGTGAAGACTGGCGCGCCAGGGTGGCCCGCATCGTAGCATTTCGCGAGGATGGTGTCTGTTTAGCGCGCGTGCAGTGCATTGCTGGGAATTGACGCGCGCATGCAATGTATTCCTGGGAATTGCCACACGCGTGTGGCACGCATGCTATCTCTTCACAAAGCTGGCGCTTGCTTGCCGCGCGCGTGGCTGGCAATCGATCATGCGACAAGAATGGTGCCCGTTTAGCGCACGCGTGTGCCCCGCCTTTTTTGGGGGCAGGGAGAGTCTTCCTTTCGGCCAGATCCGGTCTGGTAGGGCCAGGTGGGGCTCGAGGCCAAATTGCACCTGTTAAGGCTAATCATATTTGAGCCAGGAAGCAGGCAGCGGGAGGGAAATGCTAGGGAGAACAAAGGGAAGGGATATGGGGAGGGGATAATGGAGAGGGGCCAAGGAAGGGAGATGAGGGCTTACGAAAAGGACTTTGGAAAGAACGAGACGGAGTGAAGACGCTCTGCGTGCCCATGCTGGCCCTATGTCGCACCCACCATCGCTGCGAATGGAACAAAGTGGTCCCTGCCGAAGAAGAAGAGGCAGGGGTAAGGCAGGAAAATGGGAGGGGACAAGAGGAAGGGACATCGGACGTCGGGGGGTGAGACCGAAATGTAAAGAGTCCCCCGACCGGAAATTCGATGTCGGTTTCGCTTCGTGCCATGCGTGATGTGACGTGCGTGCGAAGTGATGCTACGCGAACTTCTGCACCACTTATGCCAAAGACGCAACCAAGTCAACTGCTTCTCCGTCATCTGGGGCGTGCCAGGAATGGTCCTGCGGTAATCCCGTGGTTGTCCCAGGCGTCCCGCGGTTGTCCCGTGGTTGTTCGGGGGTTGTCCAGTGGTTGTCCCATGTATTTCGTGATTCTCTCGTGGCCGTCGCGCGGTTGTCTTGTGGTTGTCCAATACTTGTCCCGTGGTTGTCCCGTAGTTGTTCCGTGGTTGTCTCGTGGTCGTCGCGCAATTGTCCAGAGTTTGTTCCAAACTGTCCCATGATTGTCCCGTGGCTGTTTCGTGGTTGTCCTGTGGGTGTCTCGTGGTTGTCCCGTGGTATAGATATAGATCGTGAAGCCGATATATGGTTAGTGATAACGGTGTCCGCCACCGTGCCTTGAGGTACGAGTTGGAGTGCCCTCAGGTCCCTGCGAGTTCTCCAAATCAGATGCTGCAAGTGTTCTGAAAGGAAGGACCCACGGCCCAGAGTTCCGCGCGCTCCTGGGCGCTTTTAGGTGCTCTCGGGGGTTCCCCGCGCAACTTTTCCAGAGGCCAAGAGCGCGTTGTTCGGGACACGCATGTCTAGAATTGCCTAAGCTGGCCCAGAGGACCGTCCTGGAGCCCTAGTGGGCGCCTCCTGGGCCGTCTTGGAGGCCCTAGAGGGCGGCCCAAGCGGCCAACACAGACAATACCCATTGGTTTCGATTGTAGCATCACCACACTTTTGGTTTTCCGAGCGTCCAAGACGGCCTAAGAGCCTCCAAAGAATGGGGCCAAGTGGCCCCCGAGACGTCCCCAAGATGGGGGGAATACGAACTGACATGTCGAGCCCTCCGTCGCAAGATGGCCCCAAGATCCCCCAGAGGCCCCCGAAGTGCCCCCAAGAGGCCCACATCAGGCCCCAAGAGCCCCCCAAGAGGCCCCCGTGACGCCCCCAAACCTCTCCAGAACAACCTCCCAGGGGCTTCCGAGAGGTTCCCCAATCGATCCTCACAGGCATCCGAAGGGCCTCTGACCGACAACCCAAGCACGGTGGCGGGGTGGGCCGAAGGTCACTATCTCCGCCGCCCCCTGTTGGCTTACCACAAGGGTGCCCAGCGTGTTGAGGTTCAGGAGTTCTTGGTTCGTCTAGAGCTCCCCCCGGGGGCTTCGGGCCCAGCGCGCGGGCCACCCGGAATCAGTAACGCCTGTTGGTCTCCCTAGTCAGAGCGGTGCCCAGAGTGCCGCCAAGACGGCCCAAGATGGCCTCCAGTTTCGCCCAAGATGGTCTCCAAGACGGCCCAAGAGGTTCAAGATGTTCCTAAGTCCGCCCAAGAAGCCACCAGGACGGTCCAAACTTGCTTCCAGCCCAAGGTGCTCCGATACGCCCCCAAGAGGCCTCCAAGACGACCCAAAGGCCTCAAGGAGTCCTCCAGGAAAGCCCGAAGAGGCCAAGATCATTGACCTTCTTTAGGTTTTTGATTGAACTCTTGTATCTGTTTCTTTTTGGCCTTCCGACGGCCCGAGACGGCTCAAAGAGCCCCCCAAGATCGCCCACGAACCCCCCCCGCCCCACGAGGAACCCAAAACGACCCACGAGGCCTCCAAGAGGCACCAGATGGCCTCCAGGACGGCCCTGAAGCGCCCCAGGATGGCCCCAATACGGTCCGAAGAGGTGCCCAAGACGGCTTCACACGGGCCAGCAGCTCCCTAAGACGGTCAAAGAGGTCACCAAGAAGCTCGCAAAGGCCCCCAAGATGCCTCCAAGAGGCCCCCAGGAAGCTCCCAGGAGGCGCGAAGAGTGACCCAAGAAGTTCCAGAGAGGTCTCCGCATCCTTCTCCTCATCCTCCCTTTTCCTTCCTCTCCTCATCCTCCTCTTTATCCTCCCCCGCGTGTTCCCTGAAGGGCTTCCACAACGGCTGGGGGAACGTATGGTCCAATCGCGTGGCCAAACTTAGCCTAAGCGTTTGGCCACATAGGCGTATCTTGAAAGGCAGGGGCCGGCGGTGATTCGCCGTATCCGTATGTGTCTTCGATCCGCCGCCCCCTGTGCCAACAGGGGTGCTTAGCGTGCTGAGGTTCATATGTTTTCTGGTTCTTTCAGAACTCCCCCTGGGGCTTTGGCCCAGCGCGCCAGCCACCCAGAAGGCCGCGTAAGCCGCCGAGCAATTAGCCCAATTGCTTCCTAGACGGCTTCAGAGGGTCCAAGATGCCTCGATATCCGCCCAAGAAGCCGCCAAGACTGCCTAAAATGGGCCCAAGATGGCTTAAGACGGCCCAAGAGGCCGCCAAGAGGCCTCCAAGACGGCCCAAAGGCCTCCAAGAGGGCCTCCAGGAAGGCGTGCAGAGGCACAACTCATTGATTTTCCCTTCGTTTTTGAAGGACTTTGGCATTTATTTCTCTTCGACCTTCCGACGGCCCGAGACGGCCCAAGAGCCCCCCAAGATCGCTTCAAGATCGGCCAATACGACTCCACAACATGGCCCCAGAACGGCCCAAGAGGCCCTCAATACGGCCTCAAGCCAGTCCAAGAGGCCTCGAAGACGCCCAAGATGGCCTCCAAGACGGCCCTGGAGCACCTCAAAAGGGCTCCAAGTCGGTTCAGAGAGGCCCCCAGCCAAAGAGGCTCCCAAGAAGCCCCCCAAAGCCCCCCAAAAGGCCAAAGGAGGCCCCAAAGATGCCTCCAAGAGGCCCCCCAGGAAGCTCCCAGGAGGCGCCAAGAATGCCCCCAGACGCTCCTCATCTTCCCCGCCATCCTCCCCCAAGTGCTCCCCGAGTTGTTTCCACAACGGCTGGGGGAAGACATGGACCGATTGCTTGGCAGAGCTCTGGCCACAACGTCCAGCCACACGGGCGCCTCCCAAAGGCAGGGGGCGCCGGCGGTTCGCAGTGGGCGTCTCCTGGCTCGGCGATCGTGATGAGAGAATCCAGGAGGACACGGCCTGGTGGGAAATGAAACGGAGAGGCCCGTCAGGAGCTCACAAGGGTGTAACTGACCAGGCGGAACCCCGTCGGGGGAGAGCACGACGAAGGGGGTGTGAGGAGGAGGAGGAGGAGGAGGAGGAGGAGGAGGAGGAGGAGGAGGAGGAGGAGGAGGAGGAGGGAGGAGGAGGAGGAGGAGGAAGGAAGGAGGAGGAGGAGGAGGAGGAGGAGGAGGAGGAGGGTGAGGCCCGTCGGAAAGTCATGCCTGACCAGGCGAATGGGGGGCACTGTGAGGGGCCGCTGCTCCCCCTGGTCAGGCCCTGAACTGACAGAACGCTGCGGACTTGAGCCGAAATGGCTACGGACCGGGCGAGGAGGGTGACGATGAGGAGAAAGAGCAAGGAGGAGGGTGAGGACGAGACTCAGGATGAAGAGGATGCAGAGGAGGAAGAGAAGGAAAAGGAGAAGGAGAAGGAGGAGGAGGAGAAGGAGGAGGAACGCCAATCTACGCTGGACGAAGAACGGAGTTTCTGGCCGGTCGCCAGCCTCCTCAGTCGCGTCGGGCGGCAGGTTGCTGAGGACGATCGACCTGTCCTCGAGTCGCAGGCACGGCTCGGGGGAGGAGGAGGAGGAGGAGGAGGAGGAGGAGGGTGAGGAGGCGGAAGAGGCTGATGACGCGGTGGACGGGAAGGAAGAGCAGGAGAGGGAGGTGGAGGAGAAGGGGGAGGAATCTGACGCGGAGGGAGGGAACGAACATGGTGGGAGGAACGGGACTGGACTGGGGGCGGCATGCCGAAGAGGAAGACGTGGTTAGTGAGTACGAGAGGAGGATGGGTAGGGGCAGGAGAAGGAGGAATGATGAGGAGAAGGAGGAGGGGGGGCAGATGATGAGCAGGATCGGAGGTGAAGGAAGGAAGGAAGGAAGGCAAGAGGAGGAGAAATAAGTGGAGGAGGAGGAGGAAAAATGACGGCAGGATGGGTGGATGGAGGCAGGACGAACGGGAGGGGAAATAAGGGTGGGGATCAGGACGGGAACAAAGGAGGGCGGGGTCGAGCACGAGGATGGGGAGCACGAGGAGGACGAGGAGACGCTCGAAGCGAGCGGGTACCACGGAAGGAGGGTGCACGCAAAGGAGCAGCACTCGCTTCTCAGTCTCGCTCTCTCTCTCTCTCTTTCTACTACTTCCTCCTCCTCCTCCTCCTCCTCACCATAGCTCCTCCTCACCATAGCTCCCCTCGTCCTCATTCTCCTCCGCCGCATCCTCCTCGCTTGTCAAACTGATCCCTCTTCCGCGTATTTCATCTTTGCTGAGCTCACTAATGCGCTGTCTGCTAATCTTCTCCTCCTCCGCCTCCTCCTCCTCCTCCTCCTCCTCCTCCCCGTCTACCTGCAGCTTCTGCTTCTCCTCTTCTGTTTCCTCTTCCTGGCGCGAACTCCTTCGTATGGGCACCTCCTTACCAGGGAAGAGGGGGGAGGTGGGAAGGAGGGAGAGCGGATAGGGGGAAGGGTGGACAGGAATGCGGCAGAGTGAGGCAAGAAGGGGCGGGAGCGGAAGGGAGGGGACAGATAGAGGGACGGGGGAATGTGGGGGGAAAGCGGCAGCCAGGGACAAACAAAGGCTTAGAGAGGGGGGGGCAGGAACGGGGCAGGAGTGAGATGGGATGAGGGAGGAAGGAGGGGATGAGAGAGGCGAGGGAAATGGAGGGGAAAGGGAACTAGGGGAACCCACCGCGAAGGACACTACAGGGTGCATCAGCTGTAGCCTGCTCCCTCTGGCGGGGGGAGAAGCATCACCAAGAAGAATGATAGCAGGAAGACGTAGCCGGATCATGAGGGTGACGGGGGGCAAGATACTGAGGGGGAGGAGGAGCAGGAGAAGGGCACGAGAGCACGAGGCAGCACGCAACCGTCAGAGGACAGACGGTCGGCGGCGACAGAAGGCGGAGCAGGCGGAGGGAGGACGAAGGGCGAGCAGGAGGGCGGAGGACGAGGAGGGGGGGGGGGACGAGGACGAGGACGAGCAGGGGCAGGAGCAGGTCGAGCGTGGCCTGGGCGGACGCGGCTGCCGTGGCGAGAGCGGGCCGGGAGGCGGACCACGGGCCGCAGAGGGAGGACGGCGGGTCGGGCGCGGAGGTCGCGGCCGATCTCCGCGGACGGCGGCGCTGCCAACGGCGGGGGCGTCCACGACTCCACCTCGGATGGCCCCTGTCTCTCCCGCAGGGGATGGCTGGGCGAGGAGGCTTTCCCGTACGTGCGTCCTCGGAAGCAGCAGTATTCAGTGGTCCAAGAAATCAGCATCGTTCTGTGTTTGCCAGCGCGGACCCCAAGCAGTGATTTCTTGCAATGTGCGCGGTGCAATGTAGGTGGCCACATCCACGTGGTGCAGCTCATACGGTGTAAGGCAAGGCAGCGCAATGATGCAACGTGATGCAAGGCACCGCGCAAGAATGCCACGCAGTGCAAAGCACTGCAAAACAATGTACAGCAACGCACAGCAATTATCAGTGCTGCACAGCAATGTAATGCGATGTAATGCAATGCGAATCAAAGCGCAGCAACGTAATGCGATGCAGTTGCAATGCAATGAAACACTTTCGGTGCGAACGAGGGGGATGCAACGTGGGAAGGTGCAACAGGGCGGCGGCGACGGACGGGAACAGAGCCGCCGGGCCAACAGACGGGCCTTCCATGGAGAAAGATCAAGCAGGGTCGGACGGGAACGGGGTCGCCGGACCAACAGACGGGTCAAGTTCCTTGGAGGTGCAATACAAAAACCCGAAGTGCAAGCACCGTTTGGGGAATGCCGAACTTTTGAATCTTAATCGTTCGGGCAAGAAGGCGTCGAGGTAGTAGGAATAGTCGTCGTCGCCGTCGTCGTCGTAGTACCAGTGCGACAAGGGGTAATAGTAGTAGCCGTGGCAGTCGTAGTGGTAGTAGTAGTAGTAGTAGTAGTAGTAGTAGTAGTAGTAACAGCAGTAGTAGTAGTAGTAGTAGCAGTAGTCGTCGTACTGGTCGTAGTAGTAGTCGTCGTCGTATGATGATCATTATTATTAGTAGTACTAGAAGTAGTAGTAGTAGTAGTAGTAGTAGTCGTGGTAGTAGTAGTAGTAGTAGTAGTAGTAATTAGTAGTAGTAGTAGTCGTAGTAGAAGTAGTAGTAGTAGTAGTAGTAGTAGAAGTAGTAGTAGTAGTAGTAGTAGTAGTAAAAGTAGTCGTCGTAGGAATAGTAGTAGTAGTCGTAGTCGTAGTAGTAGTAGTAGTAGTAGTAGTAGTAGTAGTAGTAGTAGTAGTAGTAGTAATGGTAGTAGTAGTGGTAGTAGTAGTGGCAGTAGTAGTGATAGTAAAAGTAGTAGTAGTAGTAGTGGTCGTCGTAGTAGTCGTAATCGTACTCGTACTCGTAATAATAGTAGTCGTAATAATAGTCGTCGTCGTAGTAGTAGTCGTCGTGGTGATACCAGTAGAAATAGACGTACTATTAGTAGTAATAATAGTAGTAATAATGGTAGAAGTGGTAGTAGTAGTAGTAGTAGTAGTCGTAGCAATAGTAGTCGTCGTAGTAGTAGTAGTAGTAGTAGTAGTAGTAGTCGTAGTAGTCGTAGTAGTCGTAGTAGCCGTAGCAGTAGTAGTAGTAGTAGTAGTAGAAGAAGTAGTGCTCGAGGTTGCAGCAGTACGACTGGTAGAATTAGTGGTAGTAATCGCAGTAGTAGCAATAGTAGAAGCAGCAGTAGTAGTATTAGTAGTAGCAGTGGTAGTAGTATTAGTCGTAGTGGAAGAGGTGGTAGTAATAGTCGTGGCAGTAAAATGGAAGCAGTACTAGGAGTAGTAGTAACGGTTTTAGCGGGCAGCCGTAGTAGTAGTAGTAGTAGTAGTAGTAGTAGTAGTAGTAGTAGTAGTAGTAGTAGTAGTTGTAGTAGTACTAGCCGTAGTAGTAGTAGTAGTAGTAGTAGTCGTAGTAGTAGTAGTAGTAGTAGTAGTAGTAGTAGTAGTAGTACTAGTAGTGGTAATACTCATACCAATGGTAGTAGTAGTAGTAGTAGTAGTAGTAGTAGTAGTAGAAGTAATAGTAGTAGTAGTAGGAGTAGTAGTAGTAGCAGTAGTGGTAGTAGTAGTAGTAGTCGTAGTAGTAGTAGTAGTAGTAGTAGTAGTAGTAGTAGTAGTAATAGTCGTAGTAGTTGTAGTAGTCATAATCATGTACTAGCACTAGCATTCGTAGTGGTACGTCTAGTAGTAGTAGTAGTAGTGGTAGTCGTAGTAGTAGTAGTGGTCGCCGTAATAGTAGTAGTAATAGTAGTAGCAGTAGTAGTGGTAGTAGTCGCAATCGTGGTCGTAGTCGTGGCAATAACAATCGTAGTGGTAGTCGTAGTCGTAATCGTAGTCGTAATCCTAATCGTCGTCGTAGTCGTAGGATAAGTATTAGAAATATTAGTAGTAGTAGTAGTAGTAGTAGTAGTCGTAGTAGTGGTGGTAGTAGTAGTAGTAGTAATAGTAGTCGCAGTATTGGTGGTAGTAGCGGCGGTAGTGGTAGTCGTAGAAGTCGTAGTAGTAGTGGTAGCATGAGAGCAGTCGTAGCAATAACCGTGACCGTAGCAGTAGCCATGGAAGTAGTAGTAGTAGTAGTAGTAGTATTATTATTAGTAGTAGTAGTAGTAGTCGTAGTCGTAGTCGTAGTGGTAGGTAGGTCGTAGTAGTCGTAGTAGTAGTAGTAGTAGTAGTAGTAGTAGTAGTAGTAGTAGTCGTAGTAGTCGTAGTGGCAGTGGTGGCAGTAGTAGTGATCGTAGTCCTAGTGGTATCAGTCGTCGTAGTCGTAGTAGTCGTGGTAAAAATATCCGAAGTAGCTGTAATAGTTGTCGTAGTGGTAGCTGTAGTTATAGTAGTAGTAGTCGTAGTAGTAGTAGTAGTAATAATAGTAGTAGTCGTAGCAGTAGTAGTGGTAGCAATAATAGTGGTCGGACTGGTAGTAGTCGTATTAATAATAAGAACAATCGTTGAATAACAACCACAACAACAGAAGAAATCGTAGTAGTTGTCGGAAAACAATATTCGTAATAGTAGTAGTGGTCGTAGTCACCACAGCAATAGTCGTAGCAATAACCGTCGTAGAGTGAATCATTGAACCGCTAAACGCAGCAAACACAGCCAAACAAGCACACCTGAGAGACTCGCCACCCTTTCTCCTATCCTCCTCCTCCCGCTCCCAACAAGTTTCTTTGTTTGTTGTGTGTGTGTGCCTGCGCGCGCGTGTGTGTGTGTGTCTGTGTGTGTGTGGATGTTTCAATGGTTCCCCTTCCGGAATGGAACTGTGATTGGGATCGGGTGGGGGCGGTTGTGGGGGGGGGGGGGCGAAGGGGCGGGTATGGCGGGGGGGTATCGCCAGCATTTTGATTTTTAAAACATAATCTGTATTTATTAATATATACATATTTGAACACACAAACATATTATTCAATACGTTCATTTCTATATACGAAAAAGGTTGTTCAACGCTTCTTTCCCCGAAAGAGCACGCTGATTGGGAGGAGGAAGAAAAAGGAGGACAACGGGGGAGAGCCAGAGAGAGAGAGAGAGAGAGGGCGAAACATAGAAAGAGAGAGAGGGAGAGAGAGAGAGAGGGAGATAAAGACAAACGGGATACGAAAAGGACAGGGAGGATGAGAACGAGGAGCACGCGCGCGAAGGGCCCGCGGGGGTGCCGAATCGAACGGGCGGGCGGTGGTCGTACTAGTCGTCGAACGGGCGGGCGGTGGCCGAATCGAACTAGTGGTAGTGGTAGTAGTAGTAGTAGTAGTAGTAGTAGTAGTAGTCGTAGTAGTAGTAGTAGTAGTAGTAGTAGTAGTAATAGTAATAGTAATAGTAGTAGTAGTAGTAGTAGTAGTAGTAGTAGTCGTAGTAGTAGTAGTAGTAGTAGTAGTAGCATCAGTAGTAGTAGTAGTCGTAGTAGTAGTAGTAGTGGTAGTAGTAGTAGTCGTAGTAATCGTGGTAGTAGTAGTAGTAGTAGTAGTAGTAGTAAGTCGTAGCAGTAGTATTGGTAGTAGTAGTAGTAGTAGTAGTAGTAGTAGTAGTCGTAGTAGTAGTAGTAGTAGTAGTGGTGGTAGTAGTAGTAGTTATAATAACAATAGTCGTCGTAGTCGTAGTAAGAGTCGTAGTCGTGATCGTATTACTGGCAGTAGTAGCAGCGGTGGTACTCTTAGTAATAGTAGTCGTAGTAGTAGTAGTAGTAGTAGTAGTAGTAGTAGTAGTAGTAGTAATAGTAGTGGTAGCAGTAATAGTAGTAATAGTAGTAGTAGTAGTAGCAGTAGTAGCAGTCGTCGTAGTAATACGATTCGTCGTCGTAGTAATACTAGTCGTAGTACTAGTAGTCGTAGTAATCGTAGTAGTAGTACTAGTAGTAGTAGTAGTAGTCGTAGTCGTAGTAGTAGTAGTAGTCGTAGTAGTAGTAGTAGTATTAGTAGTAGTCGTCGTCACAATAGTAGCAATACCACTAGTTGTAGTAGTGGTAGTGGTAGTAGTAGAAGTAGTAGTAGTAGTAGTAGTAGTAGTAGTAGTAGTAGTAGTGGTAGCAGTAATCGTAGTAGTAGCAGTGGTAGTAGCAACAATAGCAGTAGTAGTAGTAGTCGTAGTAGTAGTCAAAACCATAATAGTATGACTGGTAGTAGTAGCAGCGGTGATACTAATAGTAATAATAGTAGTCGTACTAGTAGTGGTAGTAGTAGTAGTAGTAGTAGTAGTAGTACGGTCCGTGATCGTAGAGGTAGTAGTAGTAGTAGTAGTAGCAGTAGTAGGCGTAGCCGCACTCGTAGTAGTAGTAGTAGTAGTAGTAGTAGTAGTAGTCGCCAGAGTAGTGGTGGTAGAAGTCGTAGTAGTAGTAATAGTAGTAGAAGTAGAAGTGGTAGTAGTAGTAGTAGTAGTAGTGGTAGTAGTAGTGGTACTCGTAGCAGCTATAGTAGTAGTCGTAGTAGTAGTAGTAGTCGTAGTAGTAGGAGTATTAACAAACATCATACTAATGGTCGTAGTCGTGGGAATCGTGGTAGTAGTCGTAAACGTAGTCGTAGTACTAGTCGTATTATTAGTTGTACTAGTACTAGTAGTCGTATTGGTACTAGTAGTGGTAGTCGTAGAAGTGGTAGTAGTCGTAGTAGTGGTAGTAGTAGATGGGCTGGTATTAGTGGTGGTCGTGGTAGTAGTAGTGGCCGTAGC